AGTGTACACGTCGTGGTCAGTCTGCTGGCTGTTATCTTACTTTTCCGGCCTGTGAGAAAAGCACTTTGCAAGCTTCATATTTTGTCCGTATTGCGAAACTGTGGAACAACTTATGCAATGCAGCCTTCCCTAGTGATTTTACCTCTCTTAGCTGTCTCTTTTAATGACTGTCTTTGTTGTGGACATGGTTTGCTCGTGGTCAATCTCTCGAGAATGTTCTTGTCACTAACTGAATATGATATATATATATGTATATGTTTTATTTTTCTTTATTTAATACTTTTAGATTTCTCTACAGTTAGACGACAATTTTGTGCAATTAGACTTTCCTCTTACTACAACTAGATTTTACTTTTTGTATATATTTTAAATCCTTATAGTTTCCTAGGGTAGGCACCCTGCATGGGTCTGAGTGTCCCGTTCGTGCCCATCCTTTTTGGGCTTTAATTCTTTAAGTTTGTATATTTTCAATTTTTATTTTTTTATATTTTTAGTTTTCGATTTGATCTTGCCCAATAATACTTGACATAACATAACATAACATTATATAGTGGTTGAAAAAAAATTTGGGGGTGGAGGAAGAAACGCGCATTGATCGATTCTGTTATTCACTGCTAGAGGACTACTTTTAACAGTCTTGTAGTAGTCATGTGAAGCCAATGAAAATGCAGGATTTGCATTAGTCCACTAGTGTGGTGATACTAATTAGGGGAATACCCCAACTCTGAACATAGCAATATCATTAGGAACATTCGCACGTATAACAGCAGCCACGATAACGCGAAAACTATCACCTCCGTTACTAGCATTTTCCAAACTTTTCTGTTGATTTTTCCTTATTTTCCTGGTTGGAAGTAAGCTCTTGACCTGGTGCCTTTCTGCGCCACAACTTGAACATGATGACCGTGTAGAGAGACGCGATGACAGTCAAAGGAAAGGCGTAGAGCAAAACAAAGAGCGCGATCGTGTAATCTCGTGAAGTGGTTGCCTCGTTGAAAGGCGGTCCCCACTTTTCGTTACCCTGGGTAAAGCCCCTCTCACCAGTGGTCTTCAAAGTATAAAGCGCAGGACCTGAGACGATAATCGCCGACAACCACGACGACCCATTGTTGAATTTAGCGACGCGAAATGTGATGACGCGTTTCAGTGGTCTGAAAATGGCGAAAAAGCGATCGAACGTGATCGCACACAGCGTGAAAACAGAGACTGCTATTGAGACGGGTTGCGCGAAGCCGAGAAGCTTGCAAAGGACATCCCCTATCGATTATATAGTGGTTGAAAAAATTTGTTGGGGAGAAACGCGCATTGATCGATTCTGTTATTCTGTTAATAGTCTTGTAGTAGTCATGTGTCACTAGGAACAGGAACCAGTGAATTTTATTAAACAAGATATGAACAACAGCTTGCTTCAGCTTGAGTAATGTCAATCAATTGAATAATAGAGAAAGTGCTTTAACTGCAATGAACCTGAAGTGTTTACATGTATAAAGAAATGAGAAGTTTCACTTAGTGAAGAGAAAGAATTCTTTTACAATACTGCTATATTTAGGTGCGATGACCGCCTGACATAATAGCCGCCGAGCTACACAACTCGGTATGTGTTGAATTGGAAAAGAGCTATTTCCTTTTAGTAAAATCCAATTAGTGATCTATTATCAATGCTGCGTTCTGATTGGTTGAGCTACTATTAGGCTATATGTTATAGCCTATTAGTGGCGAAAAGCACGAGCTTTTTGGCGGCAAAAAGGGACTTAAGTCTAACTTTAACTAGCTTAAGTTTTTCTATCGATATTTTTTACCAACTAGTTAGATTTTACTAAAACAATTATTCCTCTCGCCCTCATGGCCTCTGAGTCAATAGCCCATTCGGCCTTCGGCCTCATGGGCTATTGACTCAGAGCCCATTCGGGCTCGAGGAATAATTGTTAATTAATTAGCCATCGCCGAGCACGACAACTCGTTGGGTTATATAATTTTGTTTGATATGGTACAAAAGCTTTGCGATTCTTCACAGCTAATGCAACGTGACAGAAACAATTGCAAATCACCGAAGAATAACGGCCGTAAAAAGCTTATACTGGAACCAGGAGTCGTTCACAAATTTTCCCAAGACCAAGACGTCGATTGATACAACCTAGAAGACACCTGAATAACATTACGTCTTACAGGAAATTGCCATGCACACACTCCGCATCCGTGAAATACGCAAGCGATGAAGAAAGAGGTCGAAGTCGAAGAACGTAATCGTAATTTAGGGGTTCAGTTTGATAGCATATTTAGTTTTGAGGAGCACATTAAGAACATTTGTAAATCATCATTCTATCATTTGAGAAATATTGCTAAAATCCGCAAGTACTTAAGCCAAGATACATGTAAAATCTTAGTCCATGCATTTATTAGTTCGAAACATGATCACTGTAATTCCTTATTACATGGCCTTCCTAAGTATCTGTTAGCTAGACTACAGGCAGTTCAGAATGCTGCAGCTCGTGTTGTCACATTGACACCGAGGCATGTTCATATAACTCCTATTTTAATTAATCTTCATTGGTTACCAGTTGAGTTTAGAATAACTTTTAAAGTCCTTTTATTGGTATACAAGGCCCTTCATGGCCTTGCACCTTCTTATATTTCTGACCTTTTGAATTTTAAAACATACTCTAGGTCATTGCGTTCTTCATGTAAAGAATACTTAGTGGTTCCAAGAAGCAGATTGAAAACATATGGAGACAGAGCTTTCTCTATTGCAGGACCTAAATTGTGGAACGATTTACCTCTAGAGATTAGGAAATGTGCTTCAGTGGCAACTTTTAAGCAATCCCTTAAAACTTTTTTATTTAAGTTAGCATATAGGTTATGAGATTTCTTTTGTTTTGAGATGTTTTTGATTTATATAGTAGATAATCTTAGGCTATATTTGAATTATATTGTATATTGTATATATTTTATATTTTATATTTTTTATATTTTATTTTGTAATTAGGTAGCGCTTTGGACAATTATTGGATTTTAGCGCTATATAAATAAAATTATTATTATTATTATTATTATTATTATTAACGTGATCACGAGCATGACATCTGCACGAAAATGAGACTAAAGTAAACGAAAACGAGTCCAAAGGAGTTCAGTTTCCTGCGGCCGAGGTGCCCCCGATAAAGTAAATAGGGGCGGCTAATCGGCAGTCGCCCTTGATCGCTCGTAAAACTCTGCTTTAGTGCCACAGGGACACCAGATTAGGATGCGTTCTGACGAACGCGATAAGTTGTCGCACTTTGTAATAACACTTGTCACACTTTGTAATAAACTTGAAATGGATGGTCGGAGGGCAAGTAAACCCAAGGATAAGGGCGCTTTCCATTCAACCCAAAATCCGGAAATTTGGGTTGGTTCATCAAATGGAACGGACAATTTCGGTTTGGTCCGAGGGCCTCGGTGGATAACACCCTCCGAGATCTGCTTAATTCTTCATATCCTACGAAAGTCGAATTCATTGATTGCTTTATTATTCATTCAAATAATTCCTAGTTTAAAAACATATCTGAAACATGCTTACCTGCATCGATGTTAAGTTCATCTTCGATAGTGTACGTTTAGGTTTGTCCAGCTCCGCAAATATTTTCCAAACAGCAGATGTCGCCCTCCGATTTGTCTTCTTGCTGTTTTTGCCATATTTTTAGCTATTATTTCGCCTAGTTCTAGCAGTAGTTCTTACTCTTGAAACGAGTGAAATGTCCGCCTTTTTTTTTACAACCAAAACAACTCAACCTCGTCCCCAGGTCTTCTCAGTAACGGTGCTTTAACCTTTAGCGGGCTGCATTTTTGACGTCATTTCATCGTTAAACACAAAATTCTTCCAAATTTGGTCATCAGTAACTGGTTATGGTGAATTATGCGTGTGCTTTCAACCAATCAGAATTGGGGAAATATTTTGAATGAATATTTAATTATTTTTATTATTATTGAGGCCACTCGTGAAATGTTTCAGCAGTTTGCAATAATCTGGTTTATGCCCTATCAGTAAGAAATATAAATAGAGTTTGCCGAAGAGCCTTATTTCGTGAGCATTGGTTTTTTATTTTGTTCTGCCTTTTACTGTTTGTGATAGCTAATTGTTTCTTTTCCCTGTTTAGCTGACTCTCTCTACAAAGGCGGGGAAATTGATCATGGACGCGTGCCAATGTCACGACAAGTAAGAATAAACAGATCCATATTTAGCTGCAAATTAGATCTCCTCGCTTTTCTTTCCAGGTATGACCTGATGAGGCTTTTGCCAAAACAGGATAACGTCATTAGGTTCAACTTCCTTCCCTGTTAAATTGCTATTTTTCCTGTCCCAAGGTCGAACTTTCATCCAGCGTCTCTAGACTATTGTAATTGTTCGTGGAATTTCCTTTTATTTGAGATGAAAACTTGAGCGGTGAAAGTGAAGCTTTGAAACTGTTATCGATTTCTGTGTTGATATTGACTTTTCCTCGGTTGGCCTTGGTCAAGGTCGACCATTTCAAAATATCCATGGTCAGTCGCGTACACTTGACGATTTCATCTAGATTCATGATAACCGTTTGCGAATCCCCTTCTGCACCCGCAAGAATCTCGTCTTAAGGGGGCATTCTGGTCAAAAATTCCCAAAATTCCCAAAAGAAATGCGAAAAAGTTTTATGGCCCTAAAGGTCACTTAAGTCTATCTATTTTTAGGATTTAATACTCTTTTACCCAACAAACAACGCTTTTATTAAAAAAAATCCACATAAAGAAAGGTCTCTTTTGTTTTGCGTTTCCGTTACCATGGCAACGAATGGGAAAACATATGGAAAAACAAAAAATCGGCTGAAATTGAGTCCGTGGGATCCAGAAGTCCTAGATCCACGTCCGTGGGTCTAAATTTTCCGATTAGAGCCTGGCTACTCAGCTCAAAGAGCTTACTCGTGTTGCTTCATAAAATCGCTTCGCGTCGCCATTGTTTATATTTCGTATGCACCCAAAATATCATTGTTATAATGCCTAAACGTGGTTCAAAACAGTCGACTATTCAGAAGAATAAGTCAAGTAAGAAGAAAGGCTTCAGGGGAGTTCAAAAACAAACTGTTTTGAAAGCAAAAACGCGTGATCAGACTGAAACTGTTGCTGTCACATTTGTTGGCGAAGAGGATGTTGTAAGTGAAAGAATTCCTCCACCCAAAACTCCAGCTTCTTCGCGGAAACTAGGTGTCCAAGAACAGGAATCATCTGATTCGGAGAGTTATGAATTTGAGGAGGAAGTAAAAGGCTATCGGTTTGTTTCTATGGACAGTTTGTTGAAGTTTGTTCGTAGGATTCACTCACGTGGACCATGTGCTTCAGGTGTGTTATATAATATTTTTAATTTTTTATAATATTTTTAATTTTTCTTTATTTTCGAGCACACAGTGTTTGTCTGTGACTATACTATAGTGTCTTACATAGAACTATTTTATTTTAGGCAATGTTAAGCTCATTGAGAGAAGCATTGAGAGATTTGGTCTCAGCAGTTCTTTGTTTGCAAAGTGTTATGAGTGTGGCATGGAGGAATTTATGGCTACAGGAGAGCATGATGGTGATCAAGAGACTTCAAGCTGGACTGCATAGGTCATGTCCAGAAAAGACTGGGCAAGGCCTTATATGAATATCAAAGGAATGCTACAAAGATGGCAGATGGAAAGTCTGTCAAAGGGAGTAATGGTAGACTGACTAAGGTTGCCATTGAAAAACTTAAAACTAATTATGGCAAAGCCATACGCAACAATGTTAAAACAGGAGCTCTTACAGCAGCACAGAAAGACCAAGCTGTCAAAGATATGCAGACAGCCATCAAAGCTGGACTATATCATTCTCTCAAGATAGAAGATAAGGAGAGGCATCAGTTTTGCCCAAACAATTCTTGGTGCAAATTTAAGAAAGGCTTACCCTGCAAAGACAAGCCTCATCATCTGGATGCAGTCTTCAAAGAGCCATTGCTAAAGATTTATGAAAGATTAAGTGAGCCAGCATTGTTGCAAAGGTGTTTGCCAGGCTACACAAACAATGCCAATGAATCTATCAATTCTCTTGTTTGGAATAAGTGTCCAAAGCACAAGTGGCATGGATCAAAGAGAATAGGAATGGCGGCAAATGCTGCTGCCCTTCATTTTAGTTGCGGCGCAACTAAGAAACACGATGTTATGAGGGAAGCAGGCCTTGTTGTGGGACATCATACCAACAGAGCTAGTGAAAGAAGAGACTCAGGAAGAGTGAAACAGGCTGTGGCAAGAGGACAAGAAAAACACAAGAAATATAGGCTTGCAAGGAGACAAGCAAAAGCAAAAGAAGAGGAACTTAGAGTCAGAAGAGAAGGAACGACATATGAAGCGGGCGGTTTTAATGACATTGCTCCTCTCAGAGAACCCCAAAAGAAAAAAAGGAAGAAGTAGAGACAGTTAGGATAGATGTGAGTAGTGTATCAATGTGAATTTGTGACTTTATGTAAGTCAAGAGGCTCCAAGTAGCATCTATCTATATTGTTCATTTTTAACTTGCGTTTCTCAAATTATGGAAATTTTGTTGTTTTCTTGCTTGCCCCTTAAATATCTCAAGAGCATTTCAATATATTGTCACCATATTTTGCACAGTTATAATAGATATTATGGTTAACAAACTAATTGAGCCTTTTTTGAAAATTCCACATACAACAAAAATTACAGTCTGATAAATATTCTCTGTTGACAAATGGTTGCCATGGTAACTATAGTTGGCAAAATCCAAAAGGCTCAATTAATTTGTAGAGTGTGTTGTGTAAGTGCTTTATATCAAGTTACAGCTCTGTTGCTCTTTTAGAACACAAGAATTTCAAGGGGAAGCTAGAACAAGTAAAAAAATGTCTCCGGAATTCATTAGTTAATAATTAACTTCATTAAAGATTCTGGTGTCTATTGATCATGTTGTCTTACTTATTAGTCATTGGTTAATGCATGTGCCAAGTTTTGACTGTTTTCTCCCAATTGTAAATTTTTTATGCATTATTTTATATGCAAGTGAATTTGCCCCAAAATGTAACCAGAATGCCCCCTTAAGCTGTCTTACAAGGCATTAATTAACAAGCATGCCACTGTTTACCTTCTCAATAGTAGAATTGTGTTAAGATAAGATTAATGTGTTATCAGTAAACACGCCCACTCGACCTTAAGCTTCTTTTTTAAAAATACTTCCTTGCGCGTGACCATTTTACAAACAAGAAAACCTTACAGCATGTTACACGTGTTTTGATCAGTGGTATGTTTCACTTTCCTAACCTAAATAGCTCAAAGTGATTTCATTAAATTCACCAGATTTTTACCCTCGTTATTATTTGATACCTTGTTTAGAATTTGTGTAAGTTTGTTTTTTTGTCCCTAGGCCGCACGATAGCGCTTAGTGAAAACTGGCAAGCTTTGAATAAATTTAACGGGTAGAAATTAAAAAAAAAAACGACGCACTTCATGTAAACTGCATTTTTTTAACGACAATATTTGTAATGGGCCGTTATAAAGCCAAACTTCCTCTTAATCGACTCTAGCCCCGCTATACGGACGCCATCTTAATTGACCACTCTAGAAAATACCATAACATGCCATAATACTCTTTGTTTGTCACCCCAAAATTTTGCAGAAGCATTGTCTTCAGTTTCTCTTGGGAGTTAAAAAGGCCCCAAGAGAAACTGAAAACAATGCTTATGCAAAATTTTGGGGTGACAAACAAAGAATGGACAATACGGGCATCTCATTATTGCGGACAGTTTGCTTCGTCCCTGGGGAAAGAAAGCCCTTATATTTTCTCTTAATACGGACACTTTTTATGGCCCCCTCGGTGTCCGTATTAACGGGGTTGGACTGAAGATTTGAAAGGTAGATGCATTTGTTTGGAGTTTTTTAATATGTAATCGTCTTTGAGAACATGCCCCAAGGCAGCAAGACTGCACTTATGAAGACTGGCAAGCTTTGAAAATAAAAAAAATAACAGGGTAGAAATTCATAAACGACGCACTGATTTATGCAAATTGCGAGTTGTCAGCACGAAATTTGTAAATGGGCCTTAATTTGACAAAACTTCCTGCTAATCGAGTAGTTTCGAAAGGTAGATGCAGTTGTTTGGAGATTGTTATGTAATCGTCTTTGAGAACAATTATACAGGGTAAGAAATAAACTAAGAAGAGACAGTTCTTTTTAATGATCACTTTCTTCGTTTTGCCGGCAGTGAAGAAGTTCGTCCTAATCAATCTTATCTTTTTTCCCTGCTAAAACTATATTCTTCCTATTGAACCTACCATCCAGCTTCTTCAATTACTGCTATCCTTTTATTGTTTCTCTCAATTTCGAAGTGAAGTTTCGAACTAAAATATCAGACAAAGGGCCTGTTTATATGAGTTGAGTCAGCCCGCTTTACTGGGCTGGCTTACTGCTCATGCCTTTTTTCTTCATAAAATTTTCGTTGCGTTTATATCTTCTTCAGAGAACTTGCTCGAGTAACCTAGACCTCAGCAAGCGAGTCAGTCAGCCCATTTTGGCACGCCTTGCCAGGTAAAGCGTGCCAGCCTGGCTAACTGAGGCCGGCTCGCCTCATATTACCTGACCGTAGTATAAGTATTTGTGGCCATACAGTGCGTATGTTTATGCAGTCTATTTTGTCAGTGGTATCTCGTTTACTCCTTTAGGTTCGAACCTAAAATAGAAGCATTTCCGTTTTCACATAACTATATACATGAAGTACCGGTAAGGTTGAATCCTGAACTTAAAAACTTGAAAATCTTTGTGGTTTTCTTACTTTGGTATCGATGCCTTTACACGGATATCACAGAGGGTGCTCTATTTTTCGACCCGAAACTGGGACATTTAGTTTCTAGCTCGATCGTTAAATTAAATTTCCGAAGAAACATTACAAGATCTTGCGAGTCGTCTTTGGTTTAGAAGAAAGATGCGTTTAAAAAGTGCACTAGTCTTGAGTTTCAGCAAAATTCATCAGTGTCATCCCAAGAATGTAAAATTAATGCCAATATATTCTTATTCTCCGAGTAAGTCAGTCTTCACTAGCGAAATGAAATATACAGCTTCTCAGTTCACTTTAATTCATTGTCTGGAACCAGACAGTGTACATCAGGCAATTACAACGCCACCGTCCCCCCGTGCGCCATTGTCATATTAGGGAGTTTAAACAACAACGACGGCTATATTTCATCACGTTTAATTCGTCAAATGTTGGCAATTTTTTTTGGAGTTGAATTCTAAAGGACTGTATTAAAGTTCAGGAAAAAAAAGGGGATCATTGTCTTGTGTTGACATCCTCCGCAAAACGTGAAATTAGACAGTTTCACGTCGTAGTCGTGCAACGAGGGAAAAGAAATGTACAAAAAAGCGTGATGCACATGCAAAGTTGTTGTTGTGCTTATTAATCCTATTTTGCTTTCTGGAAATTTGCTGATGAATTTCCCATCCCGAATTTACCCAATCCATTTTGCCATCTACAACACTCCTGTTGGACGGTTCCTTTTTCAAAACAGTTCTTCAAAATAAAAATTAAATATGGGGCCATCATATGATGAGTGCCAGTAGCCTCAATCTCGTACGACGCGAGTTTCCTTGGATTCTGTGAATTAATAATGAGTTTATGTTTGCCTTTGCGTCGTGTCCATTTTGAGGTAGGTAATAAGAAGGTTTTTCTGTTATTGTTTTTAATACGTGCGGTGAATAAATAATAATGATCGTTACAGAGCGCCTTTCAGTTATCCAGTGTACGTTTCAGACCATAGTCAGTTATTTTTGGCTTTTCTTCTAATTTTGTCGGATTCATAATTGATTCAAACGCTGTTGTAATTGTTAAACTGAGGTTAACTAAGAGTCCAGTGATAAGACCGTTTATATATAAGGTAACGGAAATAGCAGTCTTGCTCATCTTGTTTTTTGCCATTTCTGAGGAAGTGTGTGATTATGTGAAAGTACAGTTTCATTTGAGTTGTTTCATGAACGAAAGCTTTTCAGGTTTTTCGAATAAGTTTCAGCTTTCACAAAGGTTGTGCAAACGACTATAGGTCGCCGTTTTAGGGATCGATAAAGGTTCATACCGCTTCTAATATGTAAAATCTAGTCGAAAGAGAGAGAGAGAGAAAAAAAGAAAACATTCTGTGTGTATGTTGTGGTTAATTTTTCATCTCAGGTAATTTTTATTTTTCTTTTGTTTAAACTTCATTAGCATACGTTAACGTACCCAAAAACAAAAGAAAAACGCAGTTTAGATTGTTTTCGGTTTACCAACGTACTCTGGAAAGAAAGGTGTTGCAGTGCATATGAATTAAATATGTAAGTTAAAAGATTATTAATCCTAGTAATCTTTGTAGTTTAATTAGCTCTCGTCAATTGAATTGGCAAGAAAATCATCTATTAAAACTGCCGAACTGCTGGTTGGCAAAAAACGTAAACAAAAGCCATGTATTCTTTGTAAAAATTCAGTTTTTGTTCAAAACATAAGTTTCCAAGTGTATGGGACATTTGTGGCTCCTGTTTTCAAAGATACCTAATTCTGCTGTGAGCTTTTGAATATCTATTTTGAGAAGAGAATGATCGGCATATGTTAATAAGGGTATTGAGAGCGGTGCTTTTATTGTCTTTAGTACGTGTCTTGAATTTAACCACTGAGGTAAACGTGAGGGCACTAAGCTTCATTCTAGTCCCCTTAAAACGTTTTATGTCATGCAAGGTCAACTATTTCTGGCTCTCTTTCAATGTTAAATTGACAGAACTTGCTGTTTCTATAATTAAGGGTTTGAGAATGATTCGACTACTATGCTGGCGGGTCATCGCAAGTGCTTGCTTTAGAATGAATGAGAAATTCAAGTCCTGCAGGAGTCGTGGCTGCAACAACCTCCTTCCCAGGTTTCATCCTACTCGTCCACCGGAGCGAGAGAGACAACTCTGGAATCGAAGTTTAAACGAAGGCGAATTACAAGTTAATCTTAAATAGAGGCAGCGATTGTGTTCATTTACTGGAATGCCAAAAACATGAAGTTTCTCATCCTTTTAATATTAAAATTAGGTGCCTTGCATCAAAAAAAGCGATGATTTTTTTTTAAGCAAAAAAAATGATGGCTGCTGCAGCAAAAAGTTTAACACATACTTTATGTCAAATAGTGATGAATGAAAATAATCTAAATATGTTTTGAAAGGAAAGATGATACAATTAGAGGATAACGTAAAGTTCTAAATGGGTCTATAAAGTTTGTTAAATGAACGATGAGGGGGCAAAGACGTCATAAACGCATAAACGTTATACGCTATACGCCCTAAACACTTTTCAATTATCTTACTGCTTTAGAATTCGCAGCACGAGGTTGTCTTATTAAAATCATAAAGCGGGTTAACCAAGCCTCAAAATGTTTATTTTCACGAGCTAAAGGAAGCAGTATTAT